CGTAACGCAACTCCAACCTTCTGATTTTTTGAGCAGTTCATGTGATGTTTTTTTTATGCAACTGCTAATTCAGATTATTCATCTGGAGTTGAGTGACTGTTCACAAGTGTGAACAGCTACAGCTAACTGTGGCTTATTCAACTAAAAGTTCTTCAATTTTCACTTGAAATAACCGTTATCACCTGTTTGGGCAGCAGCTCTGCTAGAGCGGCCCAAACTCCCTTTTCCACAGCAACCTCAACCTGCAGAACTCTCTGGCGTTCCCTGGCCAAAGTGGAGACATGATGGAGGAGCAGCGGCTCCACTCTGGGTCTCTCCTGATAGTCAAAACTTTACCATATCTCTTAAGTTGTAACTCAACCACCTGATGGAGAAAACTCATTCCTGCTGCTTGTATTCATGATCTTGTGGGTCATTGCCCAAATCTCATTACTATAGGTGAGGATTTGGCTGAAGATTGACCGGCAAGTTAATAGCTTTGCTTTCTGCATTAGCTCACTCTTCTATACAACAAACTGGTTTAGCTTCCACATCACTGCAGACCACCCGATCCACCCGTGCATCCCTGATCCCACCTTCCCTCATCTATGAACAAGACCCCAAGCTACTTAAACTTGATGTAGGACCTCTGCCCCAAGCCGGAATAGTCAAACCAACCTTTCCAGGTCAAGAACCATGACCTTGGATTTGGAGGTACTGATCCTCATCCCAGCCGTTTGTCATTCTGCTGCAAACTTCCACAGCAAGAGCTGGAGTTCACAGTCTGACAGAGCTAAGAGGACCACATCATCTGCAAAAAGAAGAGATGGTATCCTCCTGTCTGCCTTCATATTATAGTCAAAATAACCATGAACATTCAAACTCATGGCACAGCTTTATTTTAAGGAATTTTTGGAGATTAAAGCAGTGTCAAGATGACAGCAAGAACCTTTGAAAGTGCATTTTGACTAGCTATTAGCTTGGACAAGCTACTGTTAACTGTCTTGGACTAGCTGTTAGCTCATCTATACTAAATTCTGTGTAGAAAGCTCTACAGTGAGTCAGGGGGGATTATTAAAGGTGTGTTTCACTGAAAAAATATATTTTTTTAATGAATTTTTTCTGATTGTAATCAGTCACTGTCAGTGTTGGGAGTAATGCGGTACAAAAGTAATTAATTACTGTAATGCATTGCTTTTTGCTGTAATGTGGTAATGTAAGGCGTTACAGGGAAAGAAAATGGTAATATTTACTCGGTACATTTGTCAGTAACGCGGTAATTACAATGCATTTTTAAACCCAGAATCAAGATGTGTTCCTTAAAAATTCAAATTGCGGGAAACCCGAAGAAAGATCCAGTATCTGCATATATGACGTCATTTATGGACTCAGCTTTGCGGGCAGAGAGGACGCAGCGGTAACGGCTCAACTACGCCAGCTGCGTCCTGCACGCGGCCGCTGTAACATTCACAAAATCGCTCCACTAAAACAAAATAATTCACTTGCGATCGTTCATATCAGCGCATATTCTCTGGTATTTTGTGCTTTTCTGACGTGCTTTGCCTCAGCTGAGTTCAACTCATTACTGCTGGAGCGCTGCGCATGTGAAGATCCCTTTGGCTGATAGAAAGTAGGAAGTCTAGGAAACAGTTTTTTCTGGAAGACGGAGAAAACATGCAGCATGCAGGAAGGTTAGAGAGAGAAAGGGCAGGAAATTATTCAAATAAAATCAAGAAAAAAAGAAAAAAGTTGGTAGATTTACCCCCAATACACATTTTTACCAGTGAAAAGCAATAATATATAAGCATTTAATATTTATACATGTGATAGAATCAGATCACCCCAGAAGTCAGTCCCACATCCAGGGCCGTATCAAGGCATTTGGGGACCAAGGCAAATATAGGTTTGGAGCCTCCACCACCTCACTCCCTGCTCAGTTAATATAAGATGGCAGCGTGCTGAGAGTACAGATTGTTGTTGCTTTTATTTAATAAACAATCATTTTAAAGCACTTTTATTATATCTGACTGTTATTAACAGCAATCTTAGCTCAGACACCACATCACTTTCCACATATATGTCATGAGCTCACTGAGCGTCACATTACCAGATTCATATTGAAGTTGTTTTGGTGAAAGTTACTTAAAGTAATGCAAAAGTAGTGTAATGCCTTACACTTTAAAATCAGTAATATTGTAATGTAATGAATTACTTTAAAATGAGGGTAACAAGTAATAAATAATGCATTACAGTTTTGAAGTAACTTGCCCAACACTGGTCACTGTCAGTTTTCTATGCAAGCTGAACATGAAAATAGTCTCCTACACCTATCTCTTGCATTAGCTTCTGATAAAAACTCTAGGATTTGAGAATCCTGACAGATCTAAGTCACACTGTAACTTAACGTTGGACACAACCGTCTTGACTGAAAAACAGGGAAAGCTGTTGTTGGTGTAAGGGTTTAATTTACATCTATTTAGTGAACCGTTACATTGGTTTAGCGTCCAGGAAACGGCAGAGAATATCTTGGCTAGTAGAAGCTACCAATTAGCATTAGCAACTCCGCCACACAGCAAAACTCCTTGAGGCTTCTGTTATTTGAGGAGATAAACCATCAACGCTGCAAAGCAAACAGAGTCAGTGGTAGAATCGCGCTGCTGTTAGCCAGTCAGAGACAAGATGTCCAAACAAGACTCCAAATCCTGCACAGAGCAGCAGCAGAATTGTCGACGCTTAAACAAGCAATTGTGGGCTTTTTAATTTGCCCCTAGTACGGCTTGTAAGGCATTAATTCCTACCAGAGACTGCTGCAAATGTATTGATGAAATGAGTTTCCCACACCTTTAGGAACTTCTCCAGAAATATTCATCAGAATGGAGAAAATGTCCCTTTAATTGTAATTTTAATACGCACATTATTTGATGGTTTAGACATCAATAAAGTGACACTGGAGGCAGTGATGTCAGATTTGTCTCCTAGCTCAAAGCAACTAAACTTGACCAATCACACTCTTTGGATCCATCTGACTGCAGCAGACAAAAACACATAACTAATAGAATTGTTGCTCTTGGCAGGAAATCAGTTTTAATTATCTTCAACTGTTAAATGCCCGCCGTGAGGACCCTTTATTACCTTATTACACACACACACACACACACACACACACACACACACACACACACACACACACACACACACACACACACGTGTCTATCATCCATAAATCCCAGTGAGGTCGGAGTCAGGATGAAGGTCTCAGCTTGCTGTTTGCTTCCTTTCTTAGCATTTGCACATCCACTTTGTTGCCCATCAGGACAGTTTTATCTTTATGGGACACAAAGTGACTTTATTGCTTTGACTACAATAAATTTGCATCAAGTGTGAGCAGCAGCCCTGAGGGTGGTTGTGTACTCATGGAAATGTGGCTCGAATTAAAGGTGAAAATTATGGACTTTATGGAGATTTTTTTCCAGTTCACTGATAAAAGAGTTAAAGTGATTTAATTTGAGAAAACAACAGTTTTAAAAGTAAAAGAAGATGGTACGCCTTCACTGGTGTGCTTGTTTTAAAATAACCTTCATAAATAATGTGTGTGATTTTTAGACACACTCTCCCAACACAGCGATCCCACAACCTCCTGACTGACATGGTTGAATGTTTAAAAGCGCTCTAGGATGTTGCGTTTGTGGTTTAGGGAATATCAGAGGCAAGGTAATCTAGATTGGGCCTGACAGTCTCTTTACAGTGTCAACCTGCTATTTTTATCCAGCTCATTGCACATTAATACCTCCTGGCTACCCAATCCCATTTTATCTCCAACCCGCCCAGAACATTTATGGATATTAAAACACGCATTCAGGGTCAGCATCCTGCGCCAGGTGCCCACTGATGGGATTCTGCTGTTAATCTGGATGTTAGAAGCTCCCAAAATTCTGTTTTAATGCTCATCCAGATATATTCTTTTACATCGGATATTTTGCAATTGTAAAGCTTTTGTTGCTCCACAAACTTTGCATTCTCTAACAAAATGGAGCGGCTGTCACCAGAAAAGGGGATTTGAGTCGACCCGTCACTGGATCGGGGTCAGAGCTGTCCATAAAACCTCAGTGAAAAATGTTCCGGTGCCAGACGAGTGAGCGATGATCCGGCCAGCGCCGCTCAGCCGCTGACAGGGAGCCTGACCTGGACATGGAATAATCCTTCAGACCTGTGTGGAATGTTTCTTGCTGCAGCTTCCTACCATTATTATTATTATTATTATTATTATTATTATTATTATTATTATTATTATTATTATTAATTATTATTATTATTATTATTATTATTATTATTATTATTATTATTATTATTTATTATTATTATTATTATTATTATTATTACTATACAAAAAAACATGATGATTTACAATAAACCCTCTGATATTAATTTCTTCTCTACTTTACTGACTGCAAATATAATGAATTTCATTCATTTTAGTCACAAACTTCCGGCTGATGAAGGTTTATAATGCTGCTCCTCTCTAACGTTTGATTATTTAATCTAACACATTTCATCTCTCCTATCATTTCTCTCATGTCTGTCCTGTGCTGTGATCCAACACGTCTGATTGAAAAATGGAGTTTCTTCATCATTTATCGGCGTCTCCCACTGTTCCATCCCTCCGGCTGATGCTTCCATAGGTGCAGATTTATATGGAACAAGAAAAGTCAGCATGCGTACTGATGGTTGAGCAGGTTTTTTTTATTGGGGAAATGAAAGTTTAATGCGGGTCACGCGTGGAAGCTAAATGTAAAAAAATTATGCCAGAACTAAAGTAGGAGGTGGTTGGCTGTCCTGAGCATAAATGTGTGAATAATGACAGATTTTATTCATCTCAGACAGAAAAGGTCAAATAAAAGTGCTACAGGTCAGGCAAAAGTACTTTGAGTTCCCTCCAAAAGAAGAAGAATTATTGGAACAATACTTGCTGCTGATCTTGTAGGATTAATGATCTGTTTGTTCTTGTCTTGTTCTCTTTACAGATAATGTTTATAGAAAATGCCTTGCTAATGGGACGTGGGCACAGAAGGGGAACTACTCCATGTGTAAAGCGATACTTAACGAGGAGGTAAGACTCGCCGCTCAGCTGATTAATGAGCATGTCTCCAGAACAGGGAGCCTGCACCACCCATCAACAAGGGCGGTGTTAGGAAGCAATTCCACTGCCATGTTATTGATAGGAATTATGGATCCAGGCTCTGGTTTCTCTACCATCCCTTCCTTACAGGGACACTAGGAGGAGGAAGGTCTAATTATATATACAACACATGCTGCAAATCTCCTTTGAAGGAATCTGCTGTGACACAGGATGGATGTCCTGAATGTGCATTTATTGTGTTAGCTCGCCTCAGGACCCAAAGTCACGGCTGCTTCCCAGACTTCCCAAAAATAAACTGCAGCAGTGATTTTCCTGCTCGGCCGTGTTTGGATCCAAAAGCTCCAGGCTGTTCTCCATCTGCATACTGATGTTAATAATGTACTCTACATAGGTGGTGGTGGTGATCATGATGATGATGATGACGACAATGACGATGATGATGATGATGATGATGATGATGATGATGATGATGATGATGATGATGGTGGTGATGATAATGGTGATGATAATGATAATGGTAATGACAACGATGATGATGATGATAATGGTGATGACGATGATGATGATGATGATGATGATGATGATGATGTAATGGTAATGATGATGATGATGATGTAATGGTAATGATGATGATGATGATGATGATAATGGTGATGATGATTGATGGTGATGATGATGACGATGATGATGATGATTATAATGGTGGTGATGATGATAATGATGATGATGATGATGATGATGATGGTGATGATAATGGTGATGGTGATGATGATGGTGATGGTGGTGATAAAGGTGATGATGATGATGATGACGATCATGATGATGGTTATAATGGTGGTAATGATGACGACGATGATGATGATGATGATGATGATGATGATGATGATGATGATGACGAGGATAATGGTGTGATGATAATGATGGTGGATGATAATGGTGATGACGATGATGATGATGATGGTGTTGATGATGATGATGATGATGATGATGATGATGATAAATGACCCACACTTGTATAGCACCTCTCAGAGTAAGGACTCCAAAGCGCTTTACACTACAGTGTATCATTCATCCATTCACACAGTCATTCACACACTGATGGTGATGAGCTACGATGTAGCCACAGCTGCCCTGGGACGCACTGACAGAGACAAGGCTGCTGAGCACAGGCGCCACCGGTCCCTCCGACCACCACCAGCAGGTAAGGGGGGTTAAGTGTCTTGCCCATGGACACAACAGCAGAATTCTCTGTCCAGAGCCGGGATTGAACCTGCAACCTTCCGATTACTGGACAACCCGCTCAACCTGTTGAGCTACTGCTGCCCCAAATGATAATGTAATGATGATGTCATGATGATGATGATGATGATGATGATGATGGTGTTTGTGGTGATAATGGTGATGATGATGATGATGATGATGATGATTATGACAATGGTAATGGTAATGACAACGATGATGATGATGATGATGATGATGATGGTGTTGGTGGTGATAATGGTGATGATGATGATGATGATGGTGGTGGTGGTGGTGGTGGTGGTGGTGATAATGTTTATGTTTATGTTTATGTTTATGTTCTTAGCAGACGCTTTTACCCAAAGTGACTTACAATTTTTTTTTACGTATAGGGCATGTTGTGATCTGCTAAGCACATAAACATAAATATAACATAAACGTAGAGAGTTCAGCTTTTATTCTGAAGGAACCGTCATCTTGTTGATAAAACGACAGAATTTTCCAGCTTGACAGTTCTCAGCTTAAAAGTAGAAAATACAGCTGGCCAGTCTGTACTTCACTTAGCGATGATGGATTTGAGAGCTGGTCGAGTACTTGGTTGGAACTGCGTTGAACCAAGTTGAACTACCTTGAAGAGCTTCGTTCGAACTGACTTAAAATGGCGTTGTTCTGTTTTATTAACTTAGTTGTTTATAATTCTTAGCAAATCAGAGTGGACAGATTAAGTAAACACTTCAGTACTCTGCCCCGCAACAGAACGGAAGTTCTGATTGGATGAGGGATCAATGTGTCATGTGTTTATCTTATGTGGATCAGAATGTCTAGCTCAGTTAGTCCTGTTATTCATTAAACACATAAATCATAACATTGTGATTCCACAGATTCTGCTAAGCACATGAACATAAACATAAACATCATCAGTCTCTTTTCCTATGTGTTCTACATTTATTAAATCCATTAAGTTAATTTATTTCAATCAGTTAATTGTCAAGCCATGTCTCCTGTTTATAAATAAATTGTTTGTGACTGCATGCTAATTCCACTGTCTTAATTGGTTGTACATCTACAACTGATAGACATTTTATGCTAAACCCATTCGAGGTGCCCACAACACATTGTGCAAGATTCTGAAATATTGCATGACACAAGGTATTTTCAGGGTTTGAACAAACCATATCTGTATCATGAAAGGCAGCTTTTCTTGGAGGAACGCTTGGCCTTTAACTCAGGG